GGAATTTTCAGAGTAGTATACTAAAACAGTATGGTTGAAGTGCACCGACAATACGGAAGTATGATCGAAGCATTATTTTAACATAAAGATGCATGTAATAAACATCTCTATGTAGCATAGAGCACAATTTTTATTAAGCAGTTTCCTTCGAGTCTCATGCCTATTAGTCTGTTATAATGACGCTAATAATACTTTGTCACTCTTAAGTCAATCTATTGAATCAAGATTCAGAGTTTTCATCTTGACAATATATCTTCTGACCAAAATAAGTAACATATTTTATTTTTTCGATTATTTCTCCATATCGTTCTCATTTGATCTCACATTTATACCACAGATATGTCTTTGATTGCTAAATATACTCTGAAAATTTCACACATATAGAATGAGAATTCATTGAAAAATGTACAAATATGTCTCATGTATTTGTGTAACAAAAATTTACTGTTTGCTCATTTTTTTTTCTTTCCTATTTTCAATAATATCAATCGTTAACACATCAATTAAGCTTTCTAGATCTTGTTTGCACTGTTACGAGCTTTTTGAATAGACTCCTGCACAAAATACGTAGAAAAAAGCCTTTGAAAGTGGATTCACTCATCAAAGGCCGATGTTATTGAAAACAGAAAGAAAAACAACAAAATCAAGGAAGAAAAAGCAAATTTTTGTTACACGAGTGAGACATATTTGTACATTTCTCAACAAATTCTCATTGTATAGAACTAAAATTTTCCGAGTATGTTAAACAGTCAAAGACATATCTGTGGTATAAATGTGAGATCAAATAACAATGGCATCGAGAAATAATTGAAAAATAAGATGTGTTAGTTATTTTGGTCAGAAGGGTGTGGGTGTGGGTGGGTGTGGGTGTGGGTGGGTGTGGGTGTGGGTGTGGCGGGTGTGGGTGTGGGTGTGGGTGGCTGGGTGTGGGTGGGTGTGGGTGTGGGTGTGGGTGTATTAAAGGCTGGCATGTGAAGCCTCCTCCTTTTCCTCCTTTTTCTCAAAACATGTCCTCCTTCTCCTCCTTTTTATCACTTAAGTTGTGGAATCACTATCTTCAATATCTTAAACAAAAACATTTGGCGATTCTACAGTGCAGAAGATATTTGAAATGATTGAGTTTATTATTGCAGCAAAAAATGTATTTTAATTTTCAACCAATATCAATCTTTATTTCAAGTTTTTACCAATTTAGAATAGTCATCAGCATGCAATAAACATATACAAATAGAAAAAGAAGTATACATATCCCCTGTGAAAAAAAGTAGGCAAAAACCAACTTTTTAGTATTTTTAAAAGTTGTTTTTTAAACATCAAATAGTACTTATAAGTAAACCTTTTTATGTAATTTTCATACCTTTTTGACAAAAAAATATTATTGAGTACTATTGTGAGTGTGAAAAGGTAATAAAATTTAATTTTTTTTACTATATTAATATGAACAGTAATTAATAATCTTGTAAACACTGAAAAGTATGTTCAATATTAATAGAGTAAAGTCAATAAAATTTTATTACTGTTTTTCACCTTTCTCAGTAAATTTGATTGATTTTTCATACTTTCAATAGTATTTAATACTACTTTTTTTTTGGTCAAAAAACATGAAAATTATATAAAAAGGTTCACTTATAAGTACTATTTGCTGTTTAAAAACAACCTTTACAAATAACTAAAAAGTTGTTTTTGCCTACTCTTTTCACATGGGATATATATTATAAGTTTTAATAAGTAACATCAAAAGATAATATAATTACAATTTGCTAGAAGGAGCAAAAAAGAGCAAATGAAACGACGAACAACATTATACCATAATCATACAACATTTTTCGCTTTTTCTTTTCCTGTGTTGTTCCTTCTAGCAAATTATAATTACATAGTTTTTTTTTTGTGTAACGTATCAAAAAGTTCTTAATAAGAACTTATGACAGAAAAAATGCAATAAATATATAACGTGATAGAGTATTTCAAGCTGTACAAAATGATCTATTCATTATATTTTTTCACTTTCCTCTTTTATTGAAAAAGTTCGGTTTTCTCAGTATATCTCTATGTAAAATGCAATTTTTTAACAGTGTAACCCTCATAACTCAGCAACCGTAGGAGCTAGAGAGCTAAATTTTTGTGTGGTAGTGGGACACTAAAAGACCAGTAACATGTAAAAAAATTCGTCTGAATCGATTCACCAGAACGAAAATTATTGACAAAATACAGCTAAAAATTCAACCGTAGCAAATAGTTGCAATTCAGTCATATGTATGTTATTTTTTTACATTCCTATATGGTCATGTTCTGACGATTACAATGAGAAATTGTTGAAAACTCGAGTTAAAGAAAAACTTTTCTTGAAAATTAATATATATTTTTTGTTAGAGGACTATATCCAATCATTTCAAGAAAACTATTATTAGATAACTACGTTTTCATTAAATACTTCTTCATGTAACACGATTTAATATTTCATGGTTGAAAAAAATAAATTCAGTTGATATTTCTGTTAAGCGATGACTGAATCAAGATGCAAAATTATCATTCATTCATTTGTACATTGTGTAAAACCAAGGATTTATGTTGTGGAAATAAAGGGTGGCAATCTATCGAATGCTGTATAGATAATAAAAAAGCATCGTGAGAATTTAAAATGCTGCATGGAATACATTTTCCACGAGAAAACAGAAATCCTCCTATTTTCCTCCTTTTTCATGCCAGATCCTCCTAAAAATTTTCAATAACAATCCTCCCTATTCCTCCTTTTTTGGAATAGAGCGTTCACATGCCAGATTAAAGGCCCACGCACGCCCAGATCCACACATCGACACATCGATGCATCCACACCCACATCCGCACACAGCCACATCTTTCTTTAAATCTCTTTTTGAATGGGCACTTAAAGACCTGCTAATATCGAAATTGTAAATAAGAAATTTGATAAAAATATAATAACTAACGATACAGTGTGAGGAAAAATAAAAACTCTTCAGACTCATCTCGACAGAAACGAAGAAATCTCAGTTTCACAAAGAACTATATGAAGAAATGTAAACTAGACGCTTTGGATATTTTCTTCCACCAATGTTACAAAGATTTCTCTCAAAAGAATCAACGGTCGTGATTATACAGAAACACACACTTACCTGTGTTTTGAATATGCCTGTGTGCTTGTTCTCGAAACTGTTCTCTTCTCACAGCTTTATATACATCTAACGTCCATTACAATCTGCGCAGTTTCTTTTTTTTCTTTTCTCTTTTATGATTCAATCAGCGCTGCTACGTTGTTTGTGAGTATACGAAAGTCGTCATAGAGAGAGATAGAGAGAACGAAGAAAAAAGCCTTGCATTCTCTTTGCTTTTATTGTACAATGCATTTATTGGTGCTCCTTTCAATCTAGGCTAACAACAACAAAAACTGTTACGAAATCATGTTCAAGGACATTAGAGAGAGACAGATCAATATAACTTCCAATATACATTGAATTTGAGTGGTAAGGCAATGTTAAGTACTAGTACACATGTATACTCGATCTTCTTCTTTCTCTCTCTTTGTTAGCATCATATCTATGTGTTTTCATCGTTGCTATCGTTCACTCTGTGGACGTGCTCGGTCTCCTTCTTTCTGGTGTACCTGTGCATGTGTGTGTTGGTCGAGATGTCGGTTACATCGCCACCAACACTCACACCCATAACCACAGCCAGAGCCACACCCACAGCAACAGCCACGCCCACATACCCACACCCATACCCATCCACACACACGCACACGCACACCCAATGACTCACATATGTGAGTCATTTTTAAGGCTTTTAGTAAAATGCTCATAAAAAATCGAGGGATCAATATTTTTCGAAACGGCTTGCGTCAAAATTCTTAGAATACGTCTCTCTATAACATATATTCAATTGAGCAAGATCTAACGACATCGATTGAGCAGGTCTCTGGTAAATCGGTCGTGGCTTATATGGAATGGCTCATATAGATATGAAAGATGATTTATCAATGATTAAATGCTCTATGCAAAATGTATAAACTTTTTCATGTCCTCTGCAGACCTTCGAAGGTTTAGAAAAAGAAAGTTCAAAAATGAATACTCTTATATCAAATATGTTTGCACGGAAGGCTTTCAGGCGCTTAGCCCATTTAGTGGTAATCTTTTTGAACGTTTCCGCAAAATTTGGAAACCAATGCCGGTTTCCCATAATACCTTTTGAGATTCAGAAAATTGAGAAACCTAAAGAGTTTCCGATGAACTATTTTGGAAGGCGAAAATGTATTTTTGGGAAACCGTTTCGCGTCCCAAATCAACTTTTTTTTGGTATTTGGGTTTTCTAGGAAACGGACTGTTTTTAGAATGTAAGGCTCACAACTCAGGAACAGTACGAGTTAAAGAACTGAAATTTCGTGTGACAGTAATCGGTTAAGTAAAATAAATAGTTATTTACTAAATACAGCTAAGATTTCAATCGTATCACGAAAGTTACAATTCATTCACATGAATACAATGTATATTTATTAATATGAAATAGAATATCATTTATCAATAAAAATCAGTATCGTGATGTATGTGCTGACTTCTTTTGCTCATTATTACAGATCAACCATCAGTCCTAGATTATGTTCAAGTATTTTCTTGATGCATTGCTTTTCACTATTATCGATTTGATTAAAACGAAGATCAAGTTTGGTAAGTGTCTGCATAGAAAAATGAATGATTGATAGTGTAATAATAACAAGGGAGTGTGTTGAAATTACTTTATTTTCTAATAAAGCATTGACCAGGTATCGGGCTCCTTGGTCACCGATTTCATTCTCTTGAATGTCAAGTGTAGTGAGTGTCTATGTGAAATAGGAGTGAATGGTTAAACAAGAAGCCGAGCAGTGCTAGTCGTGTTACTTTATTCTCTCGTAGACCATTTGCAAGATATTCTACGCCTCGATTTCCAATTCTATTGGATATAAGGCTCAGTGTATTCAGTGCCTATAGAATATAGTAAGCAGGCGATTGAATAAGAAGTTGTGTTACTTTATTTTGACGTAGAGCATAGCCTAAATGTTGTGCTCCTAACTCACCAATTTTATTATTTTCGAGCCCAAGCGAAGTGAGTGTCTGTATGAAGTAGTAAATAAATGGTTACATAAGATGCACGTCGATACAAGTTCCTTTACTTTATTTTGTTCTAGAGCATTGCGTAAATATTCAGCACCACTATCACCAATTTCATTGTTATAAAGTTCAAGCGTGGTGAGTGTCTATGTAAAAGAGTAATAGATCGAATGATAACAAGATGAATGTGTATTAGAATTACTTCATTTTTTGCTATACTATTGGCTAAATGTCGTGCACCTTGGTTATCAATATGATTGGCTTTCAGATTAAGTAAGAGAAGTGCCTGTATGAAAAAAATACGCTTCATTGGTAGCAGATGTATAGTCTGTACATTTATTTCTCATTGGTACCGGTATCCAGTACTTATTCGTCATTCTTTTGACTGTATCACGGTTAAAGCAACTCCTCAGTGTGTAATTTGAAGTGAAAAAAATAGTTGTTGACGTCAATAAAAGAATTGTTTGATTTTCAGAAAAAGCACTTCTCTGATCAATTTTTAAAAAAATGCAAAAACTCACAGAAAAATTTTTGTTTAACATCCAGGAAAGCAATTCTCTACTCAACGGAATCGGCTATTTCCTGTGATCAGCACGATTCTGATTGATAGTTATGATATTAAGAAGATATATGACAATATCACTTTATTTTGTTGTAGAGCGTTGGCAATATGTTGCATTCCACGACTACTGATTTCAATGCCTCTCAGATGAAGTTCCAGGAGTGTCTGTGGAAAATAGTAATGCATTAATCATGTTATAAGTGAAGTGGAAGAGTGATAAGATTACTTTATTCTGTTGTAAAGCATTGCCAAAATCCTCTGCTCCTCGATCATCGATTTCGTTAATTTGAACGTCAAGTATGGTGAGTGTCTATGGAAGAACAGCGGATTGACAGAATGTTAGGAAGCTGATGTTCGTGAAGTTACATTATTTTGTAATAGAGCATTCGCTAGATGTTTTGCTCCTTTATGGCGAATTTGATTCATGCCTATATTCAGCGTGGTAAGTGTCTACAGAAAATAGTGAGAGAATAGCTGGATAAGAAGAAGAGCGATCTGAGTCATTTTCCTTTATTATATTTTAGAGCATCGGCTAGGCATTCTGCTACTTCATCATTCAGTTTATTGCAACTGAGGTTAAGTTTGATGAGTGTCTTCATGAAAATATGATTGATAGGATATTAGGAAAGCGATATTTATCAAGTTACTTTATTTTTTTGTAGAGCTTTAGCTAAACTCTTTCCTCCTCGACAATCGATTTTATTGAAATCCAGCTCAAGTGTAATGAGTGTCTATGTAGAACAGTGTATAATTGACAGTTCATCAGAAATGTAGTGTTGGCCGAGTTACTTTATTTTGTTCTAGAGCATTGGCTAGATATATTGCTCCGTTATTTCCGATATGATTGCTTGCAAGATCAAGTGTGATGAGTGTCTGCGTGAAAAAGTGAGTAATTAATAGGATGTTAACAAAATTATAATAGTAGAATTACTTGGTTTTGTTCTAGAGCATTGGCCAGAAACTGAGTTCCTCGATCATCAATTCGATTCTGTCGTAGAATAAGTGAGATGAGTGTCTGTGTGGAATAGTGAATGATTGATACCATCTAAGAAATGAGCTGTTAGTGGAATTACTTTGTTTTGTTGTAAAGCAGTAGCTAGATGTTGTGCTCCTCGATGACCGATTTCATTATCTTCTAGATCAAGTGTGGTAAGTGTCTGGATGAACAAGTAAGTGATTGATACAATGATAAAAAGAAGAACTTCTGATGATATTACTTCGTTGTGTTGTAGAGCATGACCTATATATTTTGTTCCTTCATCTCCCAGTCGGTTGCGTCCAATAGAAAGTGTCATGAGTGTCTACATGAACCAGTGAATGATCGATAGTATGATAAGAAAAAGAATATGATAGAGTTACTTTATTTCTTTGTAAAGCAGTGGCTAAATCTTTTGTATATTGGAAACCAGTACTTGTCCAAGGAATTATAAGTGTGGTGAACATCTGTGAGAAATAGTAAGACAGTAGAAATTAGTTCCTAAGATAGGCGAAATTTTTGTCGTCTCATCTGAGTGAACTTGTCGAGACTTTCGCAACAACTGACGAATTTTCGATTATTCGTAAATTTTAAAACTATCCATAAACATTTTAGAAGATCAAGTTAGACTTCTAGTACATGTTACAACTGTTCCAATTATCTGTAAACTGAACGAGTTTTCCAATGTCACCTTTCACTTGCGTAACAATACTTTCCAAAACAATGAAAATATTGTTCGATAATAAATTCAAAGATTACCTGATAACGATAGTACGTATCTATGATGGTATTGAGTCTTGCGCAAACGTTACGGCATGATAATAGAATTGTTAATTCTTCAAGATTATCGAGAATTCGATATACCAATTCGACAGGTAATGTGTGTAGTGATAGAGTCATCTTGTTAGAAACTATTGTTGTTTCTTTCAAAAATCTATAATTGGTTGTAACAACATCAAAAGAAAAAAATGTCGAAATAGATTTTAAGCCATTTTAGTCAGCCTCAATCGCATCAACACTAGTTGGATACGTTACAACACAATATATATTGCACGTATTCAAACTGCGTTATTAATATTCTCGACAGTTTTATTTTTCGATAGTTACTGCGTTGACATTATTTGTTCGATCTTTTTAAAGCATACCGATGAAACATGAAATCTATTTTTCTCTTTCGAACTGATGCGAAGCATTGAATTGTGTACAGAGTGATTTTTTTTTTACTTCTTCTCAGCGGGTATGCAAATTGAGCCCATATTTCAATGTGATGTTGCTTTTTTAATGTAAAAGAAAGAAAAAAGAACAAAAAATAAATAGGTAGCAATTACTTCTTTTGAAACTATTCTTTTTTGTCATTAATATGAGAAGAAGGCGCCTCCTTTTCACTCAAAAAGAGTCAATTTTCGTCAGAAATTTCGAAATAGAGATAAATGCATAGGAAAATAGTCTGAAGTTTGTCCTTTCGAGAACAGTACGATTTTCCATTTAAAAGCTCATTTTGGGCCAACGTTTTTGATGATTTTCATTGAAAAACATGAGTTTTTCGATTTTTCTCAGTTCAAATTTTCTTAATCGCGCAAGAAGGACAGACCGTCATAGAGAAGAGGAGAAAAGCAAGACAGATAGGATTTAATCGAATTTTATTGCATTGTAGTTGACTATTTGTAAATGTGGAAAAATCGATTAAGAAAACAATGAAGTAGATAATAAAAAAGTAAGATGTATTTTATCAACGACATACAATTCTATAGATCTCATTTATAAAGCAATGTAGTAATAACTTTTCGAATATTTTTGAAGTCCATATTTGTGTTGATTACGTGGAAAGACTTAGATTTGTTGACTGATGATCATCATTAAAGCAAATTTGTTGTCGTTATTATATTATCAATGATCCAGCATACGTTCGTCCATACGAAATTTTTGTTAAATTTCTGGCAAAAATCGATCCAATAAAAATACTCGAACATCATAATTTCAATGTAGATGACGAAAAGCATAACAACAAAAACATGTCTAACGAAAATAAATCGTACATTGAAGATCTATTAAATGAATTATTGCTTCAAATATTCGGTTATTTCGATTCAATAAATCTTTTTCTCACATTTTATGGCTTAAATAAACGTATTAATCGATTACTTGTGTCCGAAAAATTTACTTCACTTTCACTTTCGAATTCGATCAGTCATTCAAATTTCATTCACAAATTTTTTCAGGTACATTTAACATTTCCAAGTTTGACTATTATTTTTATTTTCAATAAGGAACGCAACAAAAAATTGACTTCAATAGAACTTTCTGTTTTCATATTCATCTAAAAACGAATGTTTTTTCTTAAATCCACTATTTTATTCGAAATTTAGCTGTTTTTTATTTCTAAACAAAGCGGATGGGTATTTTATTTTTTTAGGAACATCCATTGGAACGATTCATACAAGTTCGACATCTCAGATTGACATTCACATTTTTGGATACTACAGAATTTAAACTAAAAGAAAGGCTCGTAGACATTGTTTTCTGTCAGCATTGTCCTTTACTTCAACGATTATATATAACTGGATATCATATGAAGGCAGAAATTACGAATACCGAGTTTACGTTTTATTTTTCATCTCTTCTCTATGTACGGGTAGACAAACTTGATCATTACTTGACTGTTCAACTCTTGAATCGATGTCGTCAACTTCGTTCTTTCTCAGCTGAAATTTTTTCGCATTCAACATCTCAATCACCGACGAATTCTTCAGACATGACTCAGTAGGGAAATCGATGTCATGGAGAATTCGAATATTGAACTCGTTCCAATCAGTATAACTCTCATAGCTATGACTACGCTCAATTTAAAACGTTCTTCTTATGATGATTATAATTGGTGGGAAAATTTTCTTAAACATTTATTGTCATGTTGTCCTAATCTATGCAGACTTTTTCTTGATACTGTCTGTACAGAGGGAAAGAATTTGCTCGATGCAGATTGGTGGACAAATATATTTCTTTCCAATAAGAAATTGCAACGTATTTCTCTTACTTTACATTGGTCGACACGAAACTATGAATCTGATCATGATAAACGAGTAATTCAAAAGTTTCAATCATCAGCTTATTTTAATCAACTCAAAGCCAATGTTACGCACACTTTCTCTAGTGATTTTCCTTGGTTTCTGTATGATGTTTCTATTAAAAATTAAGGAGCTTTCTTATATTCCAAACTTATTTTTCCTATAAGTCTTTGAATATTTTCAAATTAAAATATTAATCACTTTTTCATTAAAACTGATCTGCAATTAATTTAGCGCTTTTGTTGAAAATACAAATGTCATCACTGTTGAATTAGATTGTTATTGATATTTTTCTAATGTAAAGATCAACGCAATTTAGGTACAATTTTATAAAGAGATTGATCGATGTGCTCATCGAACGTCGATGAACATTTGATTAAAGAACAATTTGAAGTTTTTACATAGAAAACAGACAGTTAGTACAAACTCTACGGAAATAAAAGTCAAAATACAATGTAGTTTGTGTTGCTAATTAAAGAGGTACTTCATTTTAAGATAAATTTCTGCAGGTTAAAGTAAAATGATAGTGAAGAAATCTGTTTTCATAAACACATTGTCTATGGCATTTTTTGATAAACTTAAGTCAGATACTTCATTTTCATTGCCAAAAAACAACAGATTCAATCTTTATCAAAATTGTTTCTTAGTTGTATAGTATCCATCGGATGTAGCTGATCGAAAGAACCATACTCACATCCAATCTGTCTTCTTTGTTGAATCTCGATCAAACTGAAAGTTGCGAATTTTAATGTTTGTTTTCATTTGCTCCGCAGAAAGAAGGTAGTATAAACAATCGATGAATGGCACCGTTCATTAACTATCAGAAGTTGACTTCATCCAACTTTATAAAGAAAAAGGACATTGGTAACACTCAAGTGAAGTTAAATTGAATTAGTATGTTGGCAATGACATTGTGGTGTTGTCAGTTTCAGTTGTAAAAGTACACTTTTGAGCTATAATCTATCATGTAGCGATTAAATTTACAATAATTGCTTTAGTAAAGAATAAAATAAATAGAATAACCCTCTTTTAATACTAATTATGAAGGAATCAGAGACATGCATCGCATCTGAAAAGATCGTACTTTATATAAAATGCTGGAGACAACAGTGATCACCGTATACTTGATGTCCATTGGGTAAAAAGATTCCATATTTTGTAAGATAAAAGTTTTCATATCATGATTGCCATAGTAAATACAGAACGCCTATTAAATTACACTAGATTTAAAACAAGAAACATTAGGATAATCGATCAACATTTACAAAAATTCAATGAATCTAAAAATCATATCCAGAAATATCTGTTCATGCTTACCATCTTACTAGTTAAGTAAATATATATTGATTTTTCAATAAAAAAAAGCCTTATAAACAATCTAAATACAAATTTGATATCAATTGACGATAAGTTTCTCTTTCTTTTATCAATTTCATGTAACAAATAAGTACGGAATATTGATCTTAATAGAGTTTTTCAAAATATTTTTCTTTTTAAAACAGAATATATATTTAGAAATCATCGAATGATTGTTTTTATTGATTAATTGTATTGTTAGTTGTGTTATTTGAAATAAATGGAGAGTCATCCGAACAGATCATATTCGGATAGAACAAGGGAACATTAGATTGATGAGCGAGACAGACCCAACAATATAGATAGACTAATTCTTTTCATGTTTTTTTTTCCTTTTATGATTGTGTTGATGCCACTCATACTAATGGAACTAATGTAGTAAACAAGACTAGATAGAGTTCAGTTGGGGTGCGGGTATGGATGGGCTGGGGTGTGTGGGTGTGGGTTTGGATGTGGATGTGGATAAAGAGACATCCGTATCATCACACCCACACCCACACCCTTTTAGTCGATTATTTATTAAATGTGGGCCATTATATGCTGATAATGTATCTATAGCGCTTTTATTATTAAAACGTTGTGCTTATGATTATGATGGTATTATATTATTATCAGTACCTGAAACAAATTCATATGCTATTCAATTGTTTAAATCAAATCATTTTAAACAAACAGATATTCTTCATCGAGTTTATTAAGGAAATCAACTTTTTTTTAATCAATCTATATTTCAACGAATTTGAGCTATTACTGATGATTGGTTTTCATTTATTTAACTATTTAGTCTCACTTAGTTATTTTTAGCTCTTATTTAATTAAACTCTACTCATTTTTAATTCGACATTGACTTTTACAAATCATTTAAATCAAATTTTCAACATTATTTTATGTTATTTAACAATATATAAAAATTATTACAGGATTCGATCAATCAGGGGTGTGGGGTGTGGGTGTGTGGGTGTGGGTGTGGGGTGTGGGTGTGCGTGTGGGTGTGGGTGGGTGTGGGTGTGTGTGGGTGTGGGTGTGGGTGTGGGTGTGGGTGTGTGGGTGGGTGTGGGTGTGGGTGTAGAGGAAAGGGATACTCACACTCAC